ATTTATATAAGACTACATTTCTGTCAGGTGTTAGGAAAATAGAAATGTCATCAAAGACATCTATCTGCCCTTGAAAAGAATATAGTTAATCTGTTGGAACAGTACACCTCTATGAGAAGCAACGCGAAAATTATCAAGAAGAATAAAATACCGTGAAGCAAATTAAAAACAAATATGCTGAGCAAAGGTGGAGTAAAGAAGAAATTTGGGTAGGTTCCTTGAAGAAATAAGTTAGAGATTCCACCATAAAGAAGGCAGAGGACATGGGTTTGCTGAGAGAAGGGAGGAGGAAGTATCATGGCGAACAGTATGGAAGTGGGCCTTAGTAAATTCAGTACAGAATATAGTCAGCAAGAATACGAATGATTATGTATCACAGCTATATTCTGAAGCCATTGTGGGTTCTGAAATGGTCCTAATATGGGAAAGAAATATGAACTTCATTTTTTCCCCTTCATATTCTGATAGCATTATTTCTAAATATATAGTGAAATACTGATATGGGTGGTAAAATAGCAAGATAAAATGAAGTGGAGATTTTGCACTGAATTAAAAATGGCAAGATGGAAAAATAACTGCATTTTCATGGCTACTTTTAAAGAAATTAATCCTTTTGACTTAAGTCTATGCTTCTACTTGATTAAAGTGTTTTGGATTTCACAGGAAAAAACTAACATTTTCCTTTTCTTCATGTCTGTAGAGTTTGAAAATTTTGAGAAACATGAAAAAGAGTAAGTTTCTTTCTAATACGTTTCTTATATTACTTTCACAATTACGTAATTTTTCTTTATATAAACATGCTGTGAAAAATTAACAATATTTTTCCTAAACAGAGCCTCTCTAGTGTCCTATGGGTCAGAACAATCACCCCTGAGCCTTGTACATTGTGCTATGCTGCACAATGCTAATATTGGGTAGGGATGAGGGGGATGGAAAGTTTTCTGTTTAACAGACAGAAATAATAATTAGTACAATGTTCCTACCCATCCTAAGATACTGCCATACATGTGTGTTATTTAAAATTCCCAGCAGTCTAATTTCAGATGTATTTTCTTTGAAAATAGCCACAGCAGGCCGGGCGCGGTGG